CAACATATGAAGAGTTGTATAGTATATTATGTCACTGTGAATCTATAATAAATTCGCGATATCTCACATATATGTCAGACAACAATCAACACCATCTAGATTATATTAGGTTAGGTCCAAAGTAAGTGGGTATATTCGACCCTCCACTGCAACCCGCAAGGGTTTATTGTGGCTCACACCTATTCACACTCGACTAAATAAACTCAACTTATTAACGAAGCCGATTAGTTTGTATGGTGAATGGTCTTTCAGATCAAATGGCAAGAGTAAGGCTCTGCCGAACTCTAAAAACCTCGTAAAAACATCGTAGTTCATCGCTACTGTAGTCTAACAACTGTTTGGTATCAAGCTTCGAAGAGTAAATAAACACCTTGGAGTGAGCCACTCCTGGAAGATTCTGCCAGACGTCTTCTTGCCATCCAGGTGTTCAATCTTTGTTTGGCAAAGCCTAATGCGATGCCAATGGCTTCTATGAAGCTGCTTGCAGCAACCTCCTTTGCAAGGGAGTCAGCAGCCTCATTGCCTTCCAGGCCAGTATAGCCAGGAATCCAGATCAGAGACAATATGTTAAGTCTTCTTCTTGAGGAGAGTTGTTTTTGGCAATTTGCTTCCAATTTTGACGTTACTCGGTAGGAGCCAAGAGCTTCCAAACCGCTTGAGACCGAGACTTGTGTCAATAAAAATATTCTCGCAATTCAGTAGCGTAAATTTCCGCTTGATATATAGTCGTATAGGTTCCTAGGCAGGTTGATATCTCTGTCCTGGAACTGCGACTGAAAACACCTGCACCGGAACAGAAGGTGTTTTGATCCATCTGTGAACCAACTATCTGCTCTCAATATTTCCTTCTCCCGGAGGATCCATCTATGTTTCTGCACGAAATTAAGGAATCTGGAACACCCTGTTTGAATGAAGTGAATAGTTCATCAATGAGACGTCATCTGAGGTATATTCAGAAGATGCTATTGAACCTACGAAAGAGATTTCGAGATGAATACCTGAGTCAATTAATTTTACGCATACTAAAGCATTACTCTAGAGAAATCAGGAAAGGATAGATCGTCATTATCAAAAATGAGAATTTGAGAAGACTTGATTGGGCTTTGGGTGCAAGAATTTATTTCCGGTTAAGATGGGAAAGTCAAGACTTCAACCGATACTTTTATTATACCCCCTTGAAATCGAAATATACGACGATCTCGTCTTTGAATCTGATATAATTGAGAACCTGAGGGAGAAATTAATATATCTAGATATTCATAGAGGAAATCCAAGAGAGTCTTAAGTCTATGGAGCCAGAATACGAAAAACTGGAAGAAGGTGAGAATTTTCCTGTAGCTACTGGTAGTAGATCCCTAATTGTGACACGATGTGGAAGAAAGGTGACACCTCCTGGAAGATTTGGATTTTAGCATTTTCCAGTTCAGTTACTTGTGTCACTTTGTACCGTGACACAACGTGGGAGAATGTTGGAAAATTATATGCATGGACCAGACTATATTTTGCGGTTACTAAAAAAAGTTGTTATATTTTACGAGTTCTTCCTAATTGTCGAATAATTTCATACAATTGTCAGTTCATTTTGGAAATTATAACTTTTGAACAGTTTATTTC